TTGTCTCTGCTTTAGGCGTCAGCTGTTCAAACAGGCTGGAGCTGCAGCCGTAGTGTCTTTGGACTGATGATACAACAGCAGTGAGCAAGCAAAGCTTTCATACTGCTGCCTGACACAACTCCACGTAAAACTTCACACTCTCCTCCAACACAGCATGCTCACTCATTTAAATATCCACACACGCAAACACAGTATCTGTTGAGCGCTAGCCAGAAATGACCTGGGAGATTGAGCTGTTGTTCTGTTGGTTTGTGTGTTGATGAACACGTCTCTTACACTGTTTACCATCCTGGCTTTGTTCCAAGCTAGTGCGCATTTTAAGGCATCATCAACACGGAGGATGTTCCAAAAGGTAGGCGGCATAACACACCTCATTTGTTTGCAATGAAAAAGCAACCTAAGGTTTGAATGAATTCAACCCATTCTCATTCCTCCTCTCACTGCTGTATAATTTCCGGTCGTCTCTCTACGGTCTCTGTCAATAACAAGTGCTGAAAACGATCCCAAAAAATGATTTAAAAACTTCACAATGTGATAGAAAGAGCGCACTGTTATGCATTTCCCGTCTATGAAAGGCAGAGACAACAAAAGGCTCATTTGTTTGTCCGCCTACAATGCAACCCTTCAATAATGTTTCTGAATCTGTAAATTGGGAATAAAAAAAATTAAAAATGGAAAGCAATCGAAATGGAAGAGATGGTGACATTGAAAAATAGGGCACAAATGGCTTCAATTGAAAACTTGAGAATATCAATACCGTTGAAAACACAATGCAATAAAAAGCAATCAGGCACAAGGTTAGTGCAACATCTGCTTGTCATAATCTATGCTATAAGCCAAGCAAGAATTGCCATTTCAAAATCTACTCTGGCCCGTAATTGTTGACTATGTACTCATTTAACCTCAGAGCTTCTTCTTAAATGTTACATTTCTCTGGGAGAAGAAGTGCATGCTTTCTGTCCCTGCAGAATAAAGGTTGCTCTGCTGAGATGAAGTGTTAGGTGCTGGATTATCCAAACAAGTGAATTTAAGAGCTTAATAAGAACCTGCTGCCAAAGTGCAGCAAACTATTGAAGAATACAAGGGCTGAAAGCACTGCAGTTTAGCTAAGACCAAAACCATGCTGTACTCAACACATTTGAGACATTTTAGACAGACAGACAGATAGAGTAGACAGACTTACAGACAGACAGATAGAGTAGACAGACAGATAGACAGACAGATAGAGTAGACAGACAGACAGACAGATAGAGTAGACAGACAGACAGACAGATAGAGT